AGCTCCTTACCGCTAAGCCACCAGGGCTCTTTCAAAAGAGTGGTAGAAGACTGTCACTTCAGAAGAAGAGAGACTGAGGGCGAGGGGAGGAAGGGAAGAGTGTGCTGGTCCTCTGAGACTGAGTTATTGCTAATATTTGTACTTCCCACAATGCTCACTGCATACTCCTGTATGAGCTGAAATTCCCCTGCTTCTTCGCCCCATGGTAGCAGTGGTCAAGAAATCAAAAGATGTGGTGCATTGGGTAAATACGTTGCCAAGGATCTCTTTAAAATGTGAAAGAGCAAGGATGCCATCTTAAAGACTAAGGTGCACTTGATCCAAGCCTTGTTCTTTTTAATTGGTTCCGATGCATCTGAGTTGGGCAATGAGTAAAGAAGACAGAAGAACAATCAGTGTCTTTGAATTGTGTTGTTGGAGAAGAAAACGGGGAAACCCCATGGACTGCCAAAATAACAAGTAAGTCTGTCTTGGGGGAAGTGCAGCCGGGGTGCTCCTTAGAGACAAAGATGGTGACACTTTGCCCCACATACTCTGTCAGGAGGGGCCAGTCCCGGGAATAAAGACATCCTGCTGGGAAAGGTGGGGGGTGAAAGAACAGAGGAAGACCCTCGACAAGCTGGTTACACAGTGACTGTCACAGAGGGCTGGAGCGTTCAGAGAGGGTGTGGATGGCACAGGACAGGCCAGGTTCAGACCTGCTGGTCACAGGGCTGCTGTGAGTCATAGATGACCTGAGGGCACTGACCAACAACTCTGTTAGACTGACTCTAAGAACAGCCCTTCCAACTTGTTCCAGGCTCCACAGACGGGAGGGGCTGTCCCAGCTGGGGTCCCGGGGTCGGGGTGCCTCCCCAAGGCTGGAGAAAGAATGGGGTGGGACGGGGTTCTCCTCTGTCCACAGGGCGCTGTCCCGGGAACGCCTTTTCCTGCAAGAACGGCCAGTGTGTGAGCAAGGTGAACCCGGAGTGCGACAACAAAGTAGACTGTAGCGACGGCTCCGACGAGGCCCACTGTGGTCAGTCTGGCCTGGACTCCGGGCCACTTTCCCTTCTCAGAGCCATACCCTGGGTCCCACGGCTGACATAGGCGTCCTGGGGTGACCCAGGCCCAGGCCCACAAACACACCTTACCTGTGGGGTCGTCAAGTGCTAGTTCGGTCTGTGGCCCCTGCGGCCTGTGAGCTGACCCCTCACCTTGCTGCAGCCGGAGAAGGGTCCGCACGGGGAAGGGGAGGAGGGTCTGCAGGCAGCTACAAGCCTGAACAGCAAAGGTCAGCCTTGGGCATATCATCAGCCAGGAAGTGTCTGCGGAGACCAGCCTGGGGCAGAGGTGTCATCTCCTCTGGACTGGCTCTGAGGTGGCCTAGGGCTCAGTGGGCAGAAGGGCAGCTGGAAGACGTGAAGGGCTGGGCAGGGAGAAGGAGCCTGGGGACAGATGAGATGTGCTGCTTAGGCCATAGGTCCATCTGGTTCTTAGGGTCCTGGCCGTGACCTCCTCTCTTGCAGACTGTGGCCTGCAGCCGGCCTGGAGGACTGCTGGGCGCATTGTGGGCGGCATGGAGGCATCCCCGGGCGAGTTCCCGTGGCAGGTCAGCCTCCGGGAGAACCAGGAGCATTTCTGCGGGGCCACGGTGCTGAGCGCGCGCTGGCTGGTGTCTGCTGCCCACTGCTTCAACGAGTAAGCCTGCTTGCGTCGCTGACCCCCAGGGCTGGTCCCTCAGCTGATGTGACAGGCCCCTGGTGGAGGCTCCAGCTGAGCCTCGGAGAGGACGAATCCCGAGGTGGGGGGCTCAGGGGGGCAGGAAGACCCAGGTTGGACTCCTGGCCAGTGCACCTCATGGCAGGACTTCCCGCCTGCCCACGCGGGTTTGTGTGCTGCTGTATCCTGCACACATTTCAGCTGAGCTTCTCAACTAAGACAAGGAAGAAAGGCCTGGCAATCAGCTGTAAACAGCAGCCCAGGAAAATCACTCCAACACACACACAGGGTTGTCTCAGCCCCTCACCGTGGACACCCTCACACTCCTGTCAGTCCTTCCTCTCGTCGCGCTGCGGGGTCATTTCTTTGGACAGCTGTTACCTTGTTCTCTCTGACATTTTGACATTTTGTCCCCGAATGAGGGTCTCACTCCCTCACTCCTGCATCTGTGGGGGCCTGGCCTTGTGTAGGGTGTAAGCCCATGATGTGGCCTGGCCTAGGACATAGTGTGATCTGTGGGGCCCTGGCCTTGTTTAGGGGGTGACCCCAGGATGCGGCCTGTGGGAGCCTGGCCTTGTTTAGCGGGTGACCCCATGATGTGCCTGTGGGGCCTGGCCTTGTTTAGGGAAAGACGATGTTAGAAAAAAAAGAGTGGGAGGGCGAGGGAGAGAAAGAAAGAAAGAAACTGGTCCCAAGAAACGAACAGGCCTTTATTGCACGGTCTGAGAGGGAGGCCAGGTGACCCGGTCGCACAGCACGTGGACAGGATCGAAATGGCGCAGGTAGTCTGGGGGTGTCCTTCTTATAGGGGTCCTGGGGAGGACTAAGATGGTATTTCTCAGAATTTGGTGTGTTAATTAAGTTAGGTTTTAGCTATTTTGATCAGGCTCAGCCCCTTATCAGGATCCATTGTCTGGTCTGGTCTTTGATGTGACCAGCTTAGATGTTACCAAGTTTCTCAGGAAGTGATCGAGCTTGGGGGTGGTGGGCGACAACTGCCATATTTTTCCTCCAGACCCCATGATGTGGCTTGCGGGGGCCTGGCCTTGTTTAGGGGGTGAGCCCAGGATGTGGCCCGCGGGGGCCTGGCCTTGTTTAGGGGGTGACCCCAGGATGCAGCCCACAGGCTCCCAGCCTTGTTTAGGGGTGACCCCAGGATGCGGCCCATGGGAGCCTGGCCTGGTCCAGGATGCGGGTGTGGTGCTCACGAGGTCCCCCGTGTCCTCTCTTCTCTCAACATCACGTCACCGGTCTGCCTGTGGCCACAGTTCCAGCTTCTAACTCCTCGTCCCTCTCAGCCCTGTGGGGTCTGGGTCTCCTTTTAAGATCTGGTGTCGGTTTCTTGTGGAGATTTTTGGGTTTTGCTGTTCTTGTTTTTTGGGGGTTTTTTAATTGCATGAAGTCAATCCTTTTACATACTTTGCTGCGTCACGATATCGGTCACCTTGCTGACTGAATTTTTCTCCACCACCTAAACTTTTCCCCCCGGGCCCCTCACCCTAATCCAAGCCCTGCCAGAATCTTCCTTATTCTGAAATATTTCATTCGTCATGGATATTTCTGCTTCGTGTGGATTTCCTACTCTATTGTCTTACAATATTATTCCTCTCAATATTCTTCTGTCCCCATAAATCCTCCTGAAGGTATGCTGGTGGGGTAGTGTGTGTTATGTGTTCAAATAAACCAGTCACGCCGAGGACAGATGAGACGTCTCCCCCATACACAGTTACAGCCTCGGAAACCCGGGGTGGCACCGCAGAGGCCCAGCTGGCTGGAGGGGGGCCGGGCTTTAACAGTAGGAGTGCTGACTGCATACTGCTAGGTGCTTGCCTGCTAACTGAAAGGTTAACAGTTCAAAGTCACCAGCTGCTCTTTGGGGGAAAGATGAGGAAGGAAGGCAGTTTCCGCTGAATATTCATCCCTCATTTGATAGCTCAACAATAAACAAAAGACACTGGAGATGAACTCTTGTTCTCTCTTTTTAAAAATAGTTCTTTTTTACGTATTTTGCAAAAAGTTTTATTTTTTTTCCTCACCCTCCCTTCTCAATCCTGTTAACCCCCCATGATTGGGTTTTCCTGTATGTGAACAGTTTCTAATATTAGTGGTCTTGTGCTGTAATTGCCTATTTGTGACTGACTTGAGTCACTCAGCAGTATCCCTTGGCCTCATCCCGTCATGTTGGACAGTATTTCCTGAATTCTTGATGGACTTTAGAGCTGCGTATGCCCCACCCTGGGGGTGCACCTCTGTCCCTTCAGCCCCTCATCCTCCGAGGTCTGTAGGTGTGGGGGGCCCTGTGGTCTTCAGCCCCTCGTCCTCCAAGGTGGACCTGCAGGTTTGGTGGGGCCTATGGTCTTCAGCCCCTTGTCCTCCAAGGTCTTTGGGTGTGGGGAGCCCTGTGCTCTTCAGCCCCTCGGCCTCCAAGGTGGATCTGCAGGTATGGGGCCCTGTCCTGACACCAGTGCTGTGAGTCAGAACCAGCTCTCGGGCAGTGAGCTTGGGTTTGCTGGTTTGGAGCCTCCCATGGAGACCTGGTGGTGCAGTGTGTTAAGAGCCAGGCCTCTAGCCTCAAGTTCAGTGGCTGGAATCCCCAGGAAAGAGACAGGGGGGGGTCTGCTCTTACACAGGCCTCAGCCCCAGGAATCCTGCGGGAGGCTCTGTTCTGGCCACTCTCTGACTCGCCTGCCAGGACAAATGTGCCCAGCTGGGTGCCCGCGCTGTGCCCCACGGGCCCTGGCCCTCAGAGCTGTGTCCTCCCGCAGGTTCCAGGACCCAGCCGAGTGGGTGGCCTACGCAGGCACCACCTTCCTGAGCGGCCGGGAAGCCAGCACCGTGCGGATCCGCGTCTCCCGCATCCTCAAGCACCCGCTGTACAACGCGGACACTGCCGACTTCGACGTGGCCGTGCTGAGGCTGGCCAGCCCGCTGCCCTTCGGCCGCCACATCCAGCCCGCCTGCCTCCCCGCGGCCTCGCACGTCTTCCCACCCGGCAGGAAGTGCCTCATCTCGGGCTGGGGCTACCTCAAGGAGGACTTCCGTAAGCACGCCTGTCTGCCCACGCCTGTAGGGACCCCGGAGGTGTGGGGGGGAAGGGCAGGCGCTGACCATCGTGGTGAACAGGGCCCGAAGCCCAGCCAGGGTGGAGAGTGCGGGTTACCGTCCAGGCCACGTTGGGGGAGAAGCAGAATCACCCAGAAGGCGCATTAGACTAGGAGTTGTGTGGACCCTCTGCTCCCTGGTTGCTTGCCGTGCACTGTGGGCCACTCACTGTGCACACACTTGCCCGAACATTTGCACAATCACGAGCACACGCGCTCCGCTTCACAATGAGCACAAGCTGTTGGCAAAACGAGGCGGGCTTGTCTCAAGCCTTCAATTTGAAGAAAATGTAGCACCTGCCGAATGCCAAGCAGCGAAGCCGGTGAACGAGGGGAGCCGCGTTCTCTTTTGTAATTAACTGGGGGTGGACACACGTGTGGCGGAGCCCTGTCGCCTCTCCGGAGCATGGATCGCTTGTGGCGACGTCCACCCTGTGTCAGCTTCCTTGTTACTCTCGTTCAACGAGCCCCTTAAACTCCCTGCCTCCCAGCTTCTCCTCTGTGGTTGGAAATAGCTGCTGGCTCTGATCTACTGATAAGCCGTGATTGTTAGTCATTACCTTTTATATGAAACTGTTAGACTGCAGACAGGCAGCCAGTAGGCGGACACAATCTCAAAATAAGCAAACACTCTGTGGGTTACGGTGCCCTGCCGTAAGCGTGTGCCCACCGGCTGCTCACTGGTCGCCCAGTGGTGAGTCTGCCCCCAACGGCCATTCGGGGGGGGGGGGGGGGGGGGGGGGGGGGGCGGGAGCCGTGTCTGGGGGAGCAATGTGAGCCGTCAGCTTGCAGAGATCACACGTGGAAACCTCCAGGCCTGTCCCCAGAGCCGCTGTGTGTCAGAGTCAATGCAAGACAGCGGTGGGCGAGGCTTGGGCTTCAATCTGAGCTCTGAGACGGCCCGGGGTGTGTGAACAGAACAGAAAGCTGAACGTTCTCACACAGACCACCTACCGCCAGGCCACAGCCTTGACAGCCCTCAGCAGCACAGCTCTGGGGTCTCTGGGGGGTGAAGGCCACTGGACAGCCACAAGCTTCAGGCGAGACAGTGGTGACATGTCCTTGTCGGCTCTGCCTGTTATGCTGCACAGGGCTGGGGTCCCTGTGTGGGCCCTGGGGAGCCCCCAGGTGCAGGGCACCATAACTCTGACCCTCTTCCCTGGGGACAGTAGAACCATCCTAGAAGACTCTGACACCTTCTTACAAAGAAAGGTATGCTCCAGAACCCCAAAACTGAGCCCTCTGCTGTCAAGGGGTCCCCACTTATGGTGCCCCCAAACATACATGCACAGCTGCATTCTGGGAGGGTTTCAACACCTGGAACACGTCCTCTGAGTTCCCTCCTGGTGAGGTCCAGCTGCTGGCCCTTGGGTTTTCAGCCCCGCGCTCAGCCGTTAGCGCCACCTAGGGGCACCTTTGTATTCATGCTCACTCCCACTGACCTCTGGTGTGGCCTGCCCCACCCCCTGCGGTCAGGCTGCCCAAGGCTGCAGAGCTCCACGGGGACACTGGCCATCTCTCTCCCCACGAGCAGCCGGTGGATTCAGTGGGCAGCCAGACATGGGAGGTCTGTGCCGCGCAGGCTCCACGGAGATCTGAGCAGGAGGGGACTGCTTCAGACACAGTCACGGAAAGAGATTACACTGATTGATATTATTATTATTATTGCTATTATTATTATAAAGCTCAACCAACAAACATTCCAGCTCCTCCAGTGGACTGGGCAGTAGACGAAACAGAGAGCCTTGTCCCTGCGGACCTCAGCATCCAGGCCAGCGAGGGCCAGAGACACTTCCTGCAAAGACAGGGATGTCCTAGACCTGGCCCACTGCCACCACCCCAGGGAGAGCCGAGCGTGTGAAACGAGGCCAGGGCCTGAGAAACACAGCACAGGTTCTACTTCCTTTTCAATTGGCACTTTCAAACCCACACGTGGCTTGTGGCTCTAGAATGTTCTACCCTACCTTGTCCTGTGCCAAAGCTCCCTGCTCCACATAGCTGCTTAGGACAGGAGACGTGGCCCGTGCCCAGCGGAGTGAGTTCCCTCTTTTCTTTCCTCTGAACTCACCAGTGAGCGGCCACATCGAGTCAGTGGCTGGCTGTGAAGTGGCCGGGGCAGCTGTCAGGAGAAACTCCCCCTTGTGGTTCAATTCACAGCCAAACAGCAGAAAGGCCCCAGGTGATCAATACCAGGGAGGCATCCGCTCCTGTCAGCCACACGTCCACGACCACTCAGAAAAGCAGCATCTGCAGAGAAAGCTCAGGAGGCAGGAAAGGGCTGCGGAGACGAATGGAAGTGAGAAGCACAGGGAGGAAGCGGGAGAGTGCAGTTACACCACCATGATTAACATCCTACAGTAAAACGCCAACAAATAGTTGAACGGAGAACCAATATGTTCTGTAAAATTTCACTCAAATAAAAGGTTTTAAAAATAAGACAGGGGAGCTCTAGTGGCCTAGTGGTAAGGAGCTGCAACTACAATCCTAGAGGCACACGGTCCGAATCCACCAGATGCTCTGCCGGGGAAGGAGGGACAATCTCCTCCTGTACCAGTCAGATCTGATTTGATGGTACACTCACACAAAAATAATGAAATAAAAATAATTTAAGAAAGAGAGGGATAGAAGAAGCGTGTGTGCCCGCTGCTGGCCGTGCCAGTGGATGACATTCTAACCAGAGCCACTGCAGATGGGCCGAGAGGAGGTGAGAGGAATGGGGATGCCACCTCAAGTTCCTTAGAGAAGAAATAGTCTGGACCTGCTGGTCTGGGGAGTTCTGGTGGCCCCATCCAGAGGGCGTGCACCCCTAGTCCAGAGCCATAGCTCTCTGGATTTCCAGTCACTGAGGAAGGTGAGCCGTCTCCTCCCGTGCGATGTACACCCTCAGACGCCTAGTGGAGGCTCCCAATGGTGATGAGAGAGAGAAAGGTCTGGGTGACACAGAGGATTCCAGAACACTGCCCATCAGCCTTGTCAAATCTGGAGCCCAGCGAACCCTTTAAGTCACCATGAAGAACAGTGACCAACTCACTCCAAAAGAACATGTGTCACTGGGAAGGACTGTGCTCCGGTAACAATCGCCTCTGAGATCAAACGGTCAACAAGCACGGAAGGAAGCAGGGCAACTAGAGTCGCAAAAACAGAACCACCAGAATGGAAGCAATGAGCAGGTCCACCGCTTGTGAGGCAAGGAGCCCATGTCACTGCACAACGTGTGTGGAAATTGTTGGATGCAAACCTAAATTGTTTTGCAATCCTTCATCGAAAGTGCAATAAAGCTCTCCTGTCCTTGCTTTTGGCTGCCAGCCGTACCAGCATGTGCCCGCAGCCCCCCAGGCTCGCCACCATGCCTGGCAAAATTGAAGAAATTAAAGACTTTCTGCTCACGGCCAAAGGTGAAAGGACGCCAAGTCTGCCATGATCACGAAAAATAAGGATGATGTAAAGTTTAAATTTAAGGTTTGATGCAGCAGGTACCTTTATACCCTGGTCCTCACAGACAAAGAGACGGCCAAGAAGCTGAAGCCATCCCTGCCCCCAGGTTGGGCAGTGAAGGAGCTGAAATGAACCAACGTGCTGGTTTGAAATATAATAAAATTTTTAAAAGCAAAAACAAAATGCTGTAAAATATTGTTAGAGAGAGGAGATGATATGGAGTAAAATAAGGCGAGAAGGGAGATGGAGACTGAAGTTGTTAAATATGGATCAGAGAGGCCTGGTTAAGGACGGAGATGAAGGAGGCAGCCACACATGCACACTGCAGGGATAAGCATTCCAGGAGGAGAGAACAGCTTGTACAAAGACACTGAGGTCCAGCACATTTGGCCAAGGAGAAGAACAGCAACAAAGTTTCCACTCCCAGGGTGGATCTGCTCCCAGGGCAGGTCTGTGCTGAGGCGAGCCTCCCTGGTATTCACACCTGTTCTTGTGGTTGCATTTTTCTTTTTTACCCTTTGCTACTCTCTGAACTCAGTGTTCCTGTTTGCAGTTGGGTAAACCGAGGTTCAGGGGTGAGGCCCTCCGGCTCCCAGCTTTGGGAGCTGCCTGGGCCCCCAGAGCCTCACCACCTGCTCTCCCCCACCCCGGGCAGTGGTCAAACCGGAGGTGCTGCAGAAGGCCAGCGTGGAGCTGCTGGACCAGGCGCTGTGCACCAGCCTCTACGGGCCCTCCCTCACGGACAGGATGATGTGCGCGGGTTACCTGGACGGCAAGGTGGACTCCTGCCAGGTGAGCCCAGCGTCCAGGGCTTGGGGACCCCAAGAGCCAACGTGTGGCTGCGGTTTGGCTTCAGAATGTTCTAGAATGGAGGCTGGAGGAGGGGAGATGGCCTAGAATGTTCTAGACCAGGAGAGGGTTTAGTAACAACCTCCCACCTCTGCTTCGTTGTTGTCCTCAAGTGGACATTCTGGCCTCCGTCCCCCGAGAAGAATGCACAGATGGGCTCATGGTCCCTGTTTGGGACGAACCCTACAGGAATCAGGGCAGTGCGGGGCCAGCCTGGGCCAGGGGGCAGCTTAGCTGCTCCTCTATCATGATGACGCTGTGAGGATGGGGTGGTCATCAGTGACCGACGCACAACAGAACGAAGCACTGTCCAGTCTCAGGCCATCGTCCCCACCACAGGTCAGCTCCGGTCGCTGGACGCAGCCACTGTGTATTTCAAGAGTTTTCCCGCCCAGGGGCTCAGCGTTCAGCTCCACAGGGCACAGGCTCTGTAGGACTTTCACTGGCTAATTATCATGAGTTGATTGCCAGCCCTTCCTTCCTAGTCTGTCCGGAAGCTCTGCTGAAGCCTGCACACCATCGGGGACCCCACAGGTGTGAGACATCTCCAGGGCACAATATCACCCAAGACACCACAGTACCACACGCCCATGGGTGGGATGCGGTGGGAGAATGATTTCACAAACAAAAGCTTGCAATTCTCTTGTTGTTATGTGCCGTCGAGTTGCTGGCGACTCATAGCGACCATAGTGTACAATAGCCCTAAACTCTGCTCTGTCACTGCCTCTGACACACCCAGCCCAATTACCCCCGTCACTGAATCAATCCACCTCATAGAGGGTCTTCCCCTCCTGCGCTGTCCCTCCACCCTCCCAAGCATGACGTCCCTCTCCAAGGACCGGTCCCTCCTTACAACATGTCCAAAATATATCAGACGAAGCCACAGAATCCTTTCCTCCAAGGAGTAGCCTGGTTTAACCCTCTCTAGGCTGAATCTGTTTGTTTTCTTGGCAGTCCATGGTACAGTCAATACTCTTCTCCAGCACCACAGCTCAAAGGCATCAATTCTCCTTCTATCCTCCTTAGTCATTGTCCAGCTCTGTGATGCATAGAAAGTGATAGCAAAGACCATGGCCTGTATCAGACGCACCTTAGTCTCCAGAGACACCATTGCTCTTCAGTACTTTGGAGAGGTCCCTAACAGCAGACTTTCCCATGGCAATGCGCCTTTTAATTTCCTGGCTGCTGGTGCCAAGACTGTTGACTATGGAGTCAAGCAAACTAAAGCTGTGTACAATCTCAATCTCTTCACCATCCATCCTGATGTTGCCAATTGGTCCAGTGGTGAGAATCTTTGTCTTCTTGACATTGAGCCTCAATCCATATTGAAGGCTGCAGTCCATTTGTCTTAATTTTTAAAATAATCGTGCATTCCTGCCGGCTGTCCAGTAGGTGTCGAGTGTGACTCGTAGTGACCCTGTGACCTCTGCCCTGTCCTGAGCTGTCGCCATCTCCACCCTGCTCACATGCACTGTGGCAGTCGCGATGTCAGACTGCCTCTCTGAGGGTAGTGTACTTGGCGGACCCTCTATCTTTCCCAGCATGCTGTCTGTTCCCAGTGTGGCCCTCCCTGGCTACCTGTGCTAAGTCAGTGAGATGGACTTTCACCAGCTTTGCCTCGAAGGTGCCCACTAGCTGCATTTCCTCCAAGACAGACTTGTTTGTTCTTTCGGCTGACCCTGACCGCAGGATAATCATCCTCTTCTTCAACACCACAGTCCAAAGGCATTGATTCTTCTTTAGTCTTCCTTAGTCATTGCCCAACTTTCAGATGCAGAGTAAGCAACTGAAAATACTACAGCTTGGGTCAGGCACACCTTAGTCTTTAAATTGATATCCGTGCTCTTTAGAAGTCTATTATCTTGATGGTTGGGATGAATCTGAGTGCCCACCTTAACTTACCACTGTTGAGTCAGTTCTGATGCCTGGAAGCCCAGCGTTGGGTTTTCAAGGGTGCATATCTTTGTTTTGTTTTTTTATTATTAATTTTAATGAAAATTTACAGAGACTTTGGATTTCCATTCATTCATTGTTGCACTTTTCTCCGTGCCTCCCCCCTCCAATTCGCTCTTCTCTTTGAAAAGTTAAATAAATAAATAAATAAATGAAATTCTTTCATTGTTATACAATCCCTCCCCCCAAGTCCACTCCACTATGCAGCCTTCGTTCTGGACTCCTGTCATAACAAAAATACCTAATCACATATCCCTTTAAACAGTTCTCTCCCTCATCTGTTTCAATGCCATATACATAATTTATCCCACCTCTTCCCCCAACCCCAGTGTCAGTCCATTTTACAACAGTGGCACTATGCAGTATTTGTCCTTTTGTGACAGATATTTCACTCAGCATAATGTCCTCCAGGGTCACCCATTTTGAATAATATTTCATGAGTTCCTTGTTTTTCAATGCAGTGTAGTATTCCACTGTGTAAATATACCACAGCTTCTCTATCCATTCGTTTGTTGATGGGCACTTAGGTTGTTTCCAACTCTTTGCTACTATGAACAAAGCCACAATAAACATGGGGGTGCAAAGGTTACACATCTTAACAGCAGCCGATGACTTTATGTTTCTCCGACAGAGTGGCTGGTGGTTTTGAACAGCCAATCTCTTGCATATCTGTTCAGAACTAAACCCACTACACCACATGCAAGTCCACCTGACTTCCCTCACCCAAAAAGGACGCCTTTGTGAGGACAGGAGAGTCCCCATTGCTGCAGATGATTAAGCACTCAGCTACTAACTGAAAGGTTAGTGGTTCAAACCTCTTCACAGGGACCTGGGAGAAAGGCCTGCAAACCACTTCCAAAAGGCCACATCCTGGAAAATCCCATAGAGAAGGTCTACTCTGACACGTGCTGTTGTCACAGGTTAGAATTGGCTCAATGGCACCTAACAACCACGTGGGGACAGGGGTGGTTAGAGTAGGGATCAGGATCAGGACAGGATTTCAGACTGGCAGTGTTAGCACTGAGTTTAAAGATCCCATGATCTAGGGTGAGCTCTGGGGGCCTAGTGGCAAAAAGTTGTGCTGAAATCCCAGAGGTGAGCAGTTCAAATCCACCAGATTCTCTGTTAGAGAAGGAGGAACAATCTCCTCCTGTACCAGTCAGATCTGATTTGATCGTACACACACACCAACAAAAATAATAAATTTTTTTTTAAATCCTATGATCTAATGATCACTTTTATAATTGTTGTAATTAGTGCTGTTGGTACAAAGGTACCAGACAAAACTGGTCTCCTCCCCCCTTCTTGACACCTTGATTAGCAAGGTTGGTGACATTGTTCACTAGGTTGGTGGCATTCTCCACGAAGTGGTTCACATTATGCATGAGGTTGGTTACGTGGCTTGGCTCACGAGAGGGTTACATCATCTATGAGGTTGGTTACATTGTTTATCAGGCTGGCTACATTGTTCAGGAGGCTGGTCACACCATTCACGAGGCGATCACACCGTTCACGAGGCTGGTCACACCATTCACGAGGCTGGTTACACTGTTCACGAGGCGGTCACACTGTTCATGAGGCTGGTTACACTGTTCATGAGGTGGTCACACTGTTCACTGGGTGGTCATGCTGTTCAAAAGGCTGGTTACACCGTTTATGAGGCTGGTTACACCATTCATGAGGCTGGTCACACCATTCACAAGGCTGGTTACACTGTTTATGAGGCAGTCACACTGTTCACAAGGTGGTCACACTGTTCACGAGGCGGTCACACCATTCACGAGGCGGTCACACCATTCACGAGGAGATCACACTGTTCACGAGGCTGGTCACACCGTTCACGAGGCTGGTCACACCATTCACGAGGCTGGTCACACCATTCATGAGGCTGGTTACACTGTTCACGAGGTGGTCACACTGTTCATGTGACATCAGCATTCTGGTTGCTCCTGTGTTGCTTGCTTTGCCCTCATGACCCCCACCCCTGACCTCTTGGGAGTCTGGAGGGGCTTTCACGGCTGTGGTCTTACACATGCACCTTGAGGCACGGCACTTTGCTTTGACACACTTCACAGACCTGGCACTTTTCACAAATGGAGACAGTGCCATCCATGGTGCCCTCTGGCCAGTGGCTGGCTGGGCTCGCTTTGCATCCTGTGCTCCGTTTTGCTCAGTCTCACAATAGCTCAGACATTTTGATCACGCCATGGCACACTTCCCAGAGTGTCGACACAGCTTGTATATACACAGGTGTGCGGTTAGAAGCCTCCTTAATGGTGTCCACTTGTAGTGCCTCCGTGTACAACAGGAGCGAGGGCCCCCGTCCCGCCCTATCCTCACTGCGTCCACTGTGCGGACACCCACAGCTACAACCAGTGTCCGTCCTCTTCACTGAGGCTCTGAGGCTGCCTCACTGAACATGCTGACCCTCTGCAGGGACTGGTCCCTCTGGAGGACACATCCACTTGGACATCTCTCTCAGGTCGGCTGTACATGTATCATTTTTTACAAAGAACTAAATCCTTTACCTTTTGAGCTAGACTATTATCTTTCTTTTTTTTTTTAAGCTATCATGTCTAACTCATTTTTTTTCTTCTTAAGCTTTATTTTTTTTAAATAATTTTAATGAGCATTTACAGAGATTTTGGATTTCCATTCATTTATTGCTGCACTTCTAGACTATTATCTTTCAAAGGTGACACCAGGGCAGTCTGGATTCAAGGTTTGAGGAGTAACTCTGGGCCGTGATCTCAGGGCCCCCCCATCCTTACTCAAGCCCAAGCCCTTCAGTCCCCTGGGAACCCCACCCTGATGAACATGTGCCTTTGTCTCCTAGGGCGACTCAGGGGGCCCCCTGGTCTGTGAGGAGCCTTCCGGAAGGTTCTTCCTGGCGGGCATCGTGAGCTGGGGGATTGGTTGTGCAGAAGCCCGGCGGCCAGGTGTCTATGCCCGTGTAACCAAGCTCCGGGACTGGATCCTGGAGGCCATCGCTGCAGCCAGCACACCACCAGCCCCCACTGTGGCTCCTGCCCAGGCCACCCCCAGCAGTGCTGGGCCCACCAAGAGTCCCACAGTCAACACCCCTACCCAGAGCATGCTGACCCCCAGCATGACACCGTTGGACTCAGCCACAGCCTCCAAGCCACAAGGTATTTTCTGGGGAGATGGGAAGACATAGGTGTCACCACCTGACCAGGTCAGATCAATTGGTGCTGCCTGTCTGAGGCTCTTTGTGGGAAGGAGATTGGCAGTTGATTAGTGATGTCTGTCATAAGCACAGGAGTGGATGAATGGGGATGGATGGCTTCCCCCCCCCAATAGAATATACTTTGAGGGTCATGATGGTTCAGGGGTTAAGTGCTTGGGTCCCAACCAAAAGGGAATCAGAGAAAGTCCTGGCAATCTGCTTACACTGAGCATCTTTTCCTGGGTCAAGTCCATTACAACTCATGGTGACCCTGTAGGGTGGAGGATTCCCCCTTGGGTGTTTCCGAGACTGCGTACCTCACAGGAGCAGTCTGCCCTGTCTTTCTCTGGCAGAGGTGGTGGGTTTGAACCACATACCTTCTGCTTAGCAGTTCTTTAACCGCTGCACCATCTGACACCATTCGATCCCGTTCACAGCCTGTGAAGGGCTGGTGGTGTCAGAGAGGGGCTGCTGGCTGCTTGTTTCAGTGACCTCTGCTTTTCTCCCCTGGTAACCCCGCCCCTCTTGCTGGTGGTCCCCATGCGCCACCATGACCCAACATGGGCAGCACCACGCGAGTTCCAGGCCTGCCCTCAGCCCTCAGGGTGCCGGGCCCAGGTGGCCTTGGCCTGACCAGGCTGCTGTTGGGCACAGTCCAGCTGATTCTGACCAACAGGGACCCTGGGCCAGAGCCAAGTTGCCCCGTGGCTGTGGCTGGCTGTAGTGGTTAAATGCTTGGCTATGAATCAAAAGGTTGGCAGTTTGAACCCAGTCAGTGGCTTCATGGGACCCCCGGGACACAGTGTGGGGCATCTGGCTGTCACACAGGGCTGCTGGGGGTCAGAACCCCCTGACACCACCTGTCTGAGTCTTTACGGGAGAAGGTGGGAGTCTCTCCTGCAGCCACTGAGTGGGCTCGGCTTGCCATCGAACCACCAACCTTTCATTCACCAACCTACAGCTCAGCCACTGCACCACCAGGGCTTCCCTGATTCACGGGGTGCCCCGCGCTTGGCAGCTCCAGGACCCTCAGTTCGAGCAGCTTCTCTGCCCTCCCCCAGCAGAGTGTGGGGCCAGGCCCGCCCTGGAGAAGCCTACCCGGATCGTGGGCGGGTTCGCAGCTGCCTCCGGGGAGGTGCCCTGGCAGGCCAGCCTCAAGGAAGGTTCCCGGCACTTCTGTGGAGCCACCGTGGTGGGTGACCGCTGGCTGCTGTCCGCAGCGCACTGCTTCAACCAGTAAGACCCCCACCCTGGACACTGGACACCCCACATCCCCGCTGGAGGTCAGGGGAATCAAACCGCTGAGCTCAGGATTGAGGCCAGCAGGCACACTCTTCTGTCCCCTTCTGGGCTCATGGTCTAGTTTCCCAGAGTCCCACTAAGGAGAAGCAATCAGGGGCAGTGGTGGCAGAGGATGGAATGTCCCTTTGTGCTAGAAACCCAGGTTTGAACCCCACTCAGTGCTTCTCACGTGCAGCCATGTTGCTGGGAAGCTGAACAGGTTTAAAAAGAACTTTTGTATGAGAAAGCCCAGGAAGAAAGGCCTGGCAACCAACTTCTGAAGTCTAGCCCATGAAAATCCTGATGATCCCAAAGGTCCAGTGAACAGCTGTCAAAAGAGCAAGGGCAGCATGAGGCCCGTCAAGTCTACCCTCTGTTAACGCTACAAGGGGAACTGCCCTGATAACAGCACTTACAACACAAAGCAAGTTCCCATGAGGTCACACAGGTCCCCACATCCTAGACCTGCTAACAGGGTCTGAAACCCATCGCACTCACCACACACCACAGAGGACCACACTCACATTTATGGGGTTTATTGGGGAAATTAAAAGGCTATAATTCAGGTTATCAGCAAGATACCCCCTTGTGTGTGGACTAACACACCCCGTGATGGAAAAACGGCTCCCGCAGCGCAGGCCGCTGGGTCAGAGCAGCAGTACTGTCCCGGGGAGGCTCAGAGCCAAACACAGTCATCCAGGGGAGACAGGCAGTGACCGTGGGGTTGTAGGAACAGGCACTGTGTTCTGTGAGTGTGGGGTTCCTGCAAGCTGGGGGTCAAGCTGCCACTGACAACAGTATGAACAAAGAAGAGCCTCTTTGCCTTGTAAGCAGCCCCGACCTACAGGCTGAGGCCTCAACTCCCAGCAAGGTGACCCCATGAGCGGAGGGCCCCACTCAGGCTTCTCACTGGGTGACTCCCACCCAGGAAAGTGACCCGTGAGTTGTGAGGGCCCTGCCCAGCACTTCTCACTGGCCGACTCCCACCCAGCAAAGTGACCCCTTGTGCAGCCAGGGGCCTGTCTGGGGCTTCTCACTGGCCGAGCTTTTAGAGGCTGATCATCAGGGCTTTATTCCAAGGCACCCTGAGTGGACTTGAACATCTGACCTTCTGGAGAGTAGCCAGGTGCAGTCACCATCTGTGCCACAGAGAGACTCTGGCTTGACCACCAGGGGACCAAGGAGAGTCCTGGTGGTACACTGTGTAAAGTGCTAGCTGACAGAGTCCCAGCTCAAATCCACCCACTGTTCTGAGGGCAAAACCAGGCTGTCTGCTCCCGCGGGGGGTTCGCAGCCTCAGCCAGAGCCCGGTTGATGCCACGAGTTTGGGTTTGGGGTTAGGGTGTTAGATATTGTAGGTTCAGCTCCCCCCGCGGGGGAAGAAATGAGGCAGAGGGGGTCCCTGACCTGCCGCAGTCACTGGGTTAGAGTGCTTCTTATGAGCTGCTCCCTGCACTCCCCAGTCTATGAGGTCACCGGGTTAGATGCTCTGTGAGCTGTCCCCCGCTCCCCCCGACCCGTCACTGGGTTAGATGCTCTGAGTGCCCCCATTCCTGGAGCCCAGGGTCTGTGGGGTGGGATGGTCGCAGGTGGAAGTGGGGAAGCTGAAGCCTTCTCTTTCCAGCACAAAGGTGGAGCAGGTGCGGGCCCACCTGGGCACGGCATCCCTCGTGGGTGTGGGCGGGAGCCCGGTCAAGGTGGGCCTCAGGCGGGCGGTGCTGCACCCACTGTACCACGCCGGGACCCTGGACTTCGACGTGGCCGTCCTTGAGCTGGCCAGGCCCCTGCGCTTCAACAAGTTCGTCCAGCCCGTCTGCCTGCCCCTGGCCATCCACAAGTTCCCCGTGGGGCGCAAGTGCATGATCTCCGGATGGGGCAACACGCAGGAGGGAAATGGTGAGGTCTGCTCCCAGATCTTGGGGGGCGGGGGGTGGGAAGTGGGGTGGGGAGCTCCCTCCAGGGCCACAGGAGGAGGAACACGTCCCGGTGGGCCCTACACCACCACTCCCCCCTGCCTGCCTCCCACCCTCCATCCCCACCACTGGGGTTGCAAACCATGGCCCTCAGCTGGTTTATAAATAAAGCTTTATAGACAGGCAGCCACAGCCGTGCACGTCTGTATTGTCTGTGGTGGCTGCAATGAGAGGACAAAAGAGGCCCACAGGCACCAGCCACGTATCGGTGACAGCTGTCTGTGGGGCCTCCCATCGGTGACAGCCATGAGTCGGTGATAGCTGTCTGTGGGGCCTCCCATCGGTGACAGCTATGACCAGTGACAGCTGTCTGTGAGGCCTCCCATCGGTGACAGCTATGACCAGTGACAGCTGTCTGTGGGGCCTCCCATCGGTGACAGCTATGACCAGTGACAGCTGTCTGTGGGGCCTCCCAGGCCAGGGTTGCTCCAGCGGCCAAGAGAGGAAGCAAGGGGACCCTGGAGGCAGGAGGGGGTGCTCTGTCATCTCGGGTTAGAGGTCTGTGGGTCTGAGGGCAGCAGCGCCTGTTGTGAGGTGCTATACATTGGCCCCAACCCAGAGCCAAGCCCATGGCCCTGGTGCTGGCCCTGATGCCCCGTGGCCCTGGCACCAATTCTGATGCCCCATGACCCGGGCCTGACACCCCATGGCCCTACAGGCCAGCTTGCTCCCCCTGAACTCTCCAGGGCTGTGACTTTCTGGAAGCAGACTGCCTTTCTCCTGGGGTGGGATCAAAGCGCTCACTTGTCGGTTCACAGCTCAGCTCTTCACCCACTGCTCACAGCAGCCCTGGTTGAGAGCGGAGCAGAGCCGCAGAGTTGCCGAGGTCGGTGTCCTCTCAGTGGGGCTCCAGGTCTTCCTTCCGCTGATCAGCTGGGAGGATTCGAACCGCTGAGCAAACAGCAGCCTAGCTGCGCCAGGGTTCCCAGCAGGCCTGTTGTCCATGGAATGTGCCACTGAGTCGAGCAGGACTCCTAGTGACCCTGTGAGCAGACTGGGCCCCGCCCTGTCCTGTGTCGTCCGCTCTGACACACTCGAGGCCCTGCCACAATCACTGTCAGTCCAGCTCACGGGGTCCTCTCCTCTGCCCACCCACCACCTCTCCGAGCATAACGTCCCTCTCCAAGAAGTAACCCTTCTGACAACAGGCCCAAAGAGGGAGGGGAAGCCTTGGCATCTTCGCTCAGAGGAGCGTTCTGCGGCACCTTCTCCGAGGAGTAATCTGTCTGTTTGGCTGTCCATTCGGCCCTCTGCCCCAACACCACCGCTCCAAGGCCCCCGTCCTTCTGTCCTCCTTATGCACGGTCCGGCTCTCAGATGCAGAGCAAGTGGCTGGAAGGACCCCGGCCTGGGTCGGGTGCACCTCAGTAGTTTGGGGAGGACTCTTGGGGCCATTTAATGGCAGGGCTGAGGGGAGCAGGTGGCAGGTGGGGCTCCTCTGGGTCTGGGGAGCAGGCGGGTGCCAAGGGGCTGAAATCAGCCTCTTGGGGTTACACAGCAGGGCACGTGCGCCTGCATCTGGGCTGGTGCCCTTTCTGAGCTGGGGACTCGGCTGCCCGCCTGGGCGTGGACGGCCAGGACGTGCCTGACATTGTCGGCTCAGAGGGCAGGGCCTTACCTCACGCGGCACAGTCAGAGCACAGCAAGGGCGTGTGCTGCCCTCGCCCGGTCACCCCGAGAGCTGGCATTCCTGCTTGTCCTCGGGGTGCAGGCCCTCGGATGGGGGTGCTGGCTGCTCATCATAAAACTCAAGGTTCAAGTCCATCTGGGGTGCCTCAGAAGAAGGGCCTGGCAATCTGCTTCCAGAAGTGGTCAGCCTCTGGACCCCCCCCATGGGGTGCTGCTCTGCTCTGACACTTCAGGGTACCGGGACTCAGGACTGACAAGGAGCTGGGAGCCCCCAGAGCCCAGAAGGGCTGGGCCTCAGGCTGCCTGAGAGTTTGTCACCTCCTATGTCTCCCTGTGACTGCACCCCAATTCCTGCAGCCCTCCTCTCCACTCGCAGGGCAGGCATCAGCCCCTCCCAGGTCATCAGCAGCGCTGGGCTGAGTGGCCGTGGTCCCCAGCGTGTAAGCCACACCCCAGCTCTCCCCTTGCTCGCAGCCACCAAGCCAGACACCCTGCAGAGGGCTTCAGTGGGCATCATGGACCAGAAGGCCTGCAGCGTCCTCTACAACTTCTCGCTCACGGACCGTATGATCTGCGCGGGCTTCCTGGAAGGCAAGGTGGACTCCTGCCAGGTGGGTGCCAGGGCCGGCTCCCCACCGCCCGAGACCCGGGACAAGTGCCCTGTGGGGCCACAGGGCTTGCAGGTGGACAGCCCAGTGTCTCCTCCTGGCCTGGCAGCTCTGCTGAACCCTGTTTAGCTTCCTGGGAACCCCGAGCCTCCAGGACAGAGGGTGCTGGGCCCAGGAGAGAAGTGATGGGTGAACCCACCGCTGCTTGCCACTGCCCCCTGGTGGCGATGTTGCTAGGTGTCACCAGGTGGACAGGGACCCACAGTGACCTCTGAAAGAGACGTCTGAGACCCCCCTCTCCCGTGCCATCCAAGCCTTCCTTACAGTTACCGTGTCAATCCGTCTCGTGGGTCTTCCTCTTCCTCCCTCTGTGAGCGGTAGCCAGCAGATAAGTCTGCTATTGTTGATGTGTATCGTTGAATTCAAACTGACTCTTAGCTGACCCTCCAGCAGGGTTTCAGAGGCAGGTAACTGCCAGGAGGAGACTGCCCAGCTTTCTCCCACGGAGCAGCTGGTGGATTTGAACCAACAGCCTTTGGGTTGGCAGTGTATGACTTAGCGCGAAGCCAGCAGCGCTCCCTGGTTAATCCATGACTATGGGAATATTATTGGTGGGTTTTTAGTTCTTGTTTGTTTTGGAAACAGTGCAGCTGCAATGGCGGTGAGACCTGGCCTGTCCTTCAGCGTGGGTCGGGGGTCAGTCCCTGGGGAAGAACACTGTGCTGAGAAGGGGGGGTAGGAGCAAGAAGACCCTGAACAAGACAGATTGACACACTGGCTACAGTGACATAGTGGGGGCCGTGAGGATGGTGGAGGGTGAGGAGGATGGGGGAGGATGATGGGAGGAGGATGATGATGGGAGGAGGATGGGGGAGGATGATGGGGTGAGGATGATGATGGGGTGAGGATGGTGATGATGGTGAGGATGATGATGGGGTGAGGATGGTGATGGGGTGATGATGGGGAGGATGATGGGCTGTAAGAACGGGAATGCCATGAGGAAGGTGAGGGAGGCCATGAAGGAAAGTGAAGGGGGCCATGATGCGAGGGGATGAGGATGATGGGCCCTGTGAGGACAGTCGGGGACTGTGAGGACAGTGGAGGTGTCCGTGAAGTTGAAGGAGGCTGTGAGGACAGTTGGGGGGCGTCTGTGAGCACATGGTGGGGTGTGAGGACTGTGGGGGGAGCTGCCAGGATGGTGGGGGGTCTATGAAGACAGTGGGGTGTTGTGAAGATGCTGAAGAGGACCCTGAGAGTGGAGGAGGTCCATGAGGATGATAAGGGGATGCATGAGGATGGGGGACATGAGAATGTTGGGGGCCTTGTGTGGACAGTGCAGGACCAGGCAGGGATCCCCTCTATTCCTCAAGGGGTCATGAGGGTCAGTGGCAACTCGACGGCACCTAACAACAAAAGACAACTTCTTCAGAGTTTTCTGCATTTTCTTTTGACCTCCAAAGCTCAGGATGGCCAGACAACCCTCCCCTCTCCCTTCAGGGCGACTCCGGGGGTCCTCTGGCCTGTGAGGAAACCCCTGGTGTGTTCTACTTGGCGGGCATCGTCAGCTGGGGCATCGGCTGTGCCCAGGCCAGGAAGCCGGGTGTGTATGCCCGCATCACCCAGCTGAAGGGCTGGATCCTGGACACTATGTCCTCCGGTCCCCTCCCCACGGTGCCCCCCGCAACTGAGAGGACGCCCACCACCCCTAGCCAGCCCCCGAGAACCACTGCCAGCCGCACAGCCCCTGGAGTCACGACCAGAAGGACCACTCTGCAGTCTTCCAGCAGGGCCACCAGCCAGCCGGTCATCACCACTGCCGCCATCCCCAGTGCCACCACGCGGGGACAGACATCGCTTCCAAACAGCCCTGCTTCTAGCACACATTCCCAGCCCCCAGGTACCGCGGATACGGGGGCACGTGGGGTGGGGGATCCTGCGGCCCTAGAGACAGCAAACACCTTCTCTCATCCATGGCGGGTGGGGGACAGCCTATGATGGGAGGGGTCTCCCTGCTGGAATGACTCCAGACAGCAGGTGCTTTGGGGGAGGGGGTGGCCTGTGGTGTGCCAGGCCTTGCTCCCAACCCCAGGGGTGCAGCAGGAAAAACATCCTTGAACAAAGAGACAATATAGTGGCAGAGAGCTCAGAGCTCGGGGTCCCGGGGTGCGAACACTGGACACAGACCAGCTGCTCCCCAACACGCTGGAGGGTCACTTTCAGTCAGAGGTGCCTCAGAATAAAGACCTGGCGGCCACTCTGGAGCCTCGGCCACTGGACCCCTGGGGCACGGTTCCCCTGACCCACTGGGAGGGGCCACCTGAGTGGGAATCAACTCTGGAGATTCTGGGTGGTTTGCTTGTGCCATGAGGGGTGAAAAGACAAACGGAGCAGAGTAGGGGGAGTCAGGGGTCAGGGGTCCTGATGCCCCCAGCTCACGGCAGCCCTGTGCACAACAGCATGAGATCCCGCTCACCTCCACTGACCCTCTGCTTCACCCAGCGTGACGTCCCTCGCCAGGGACTGGGCTGTTGTCGACTGAAGGAAAAGACAGAGACAGGGACACACAGGAATGGGGGGTCAGGCCAGAAAGTGTGAAGGCAGGGGGCTAACAGCTGGCAGAACTGCAGGAAGGCAAACAAAGGAAAATCACGAGTGTTGTTGTTGTT